ATTTAATAGAATGTTACAACGTCCTCGGTTTTCATCGTTTTTTTTAATACTAACACTAAATTACCGTGAAATGGTAAGTTCATCTAACTTGCTGCCCTCAACTTATCGCAACAATAGGTCAACCACCTTTACTGCCCACAATGATCACGCTCATTACATAACAACCCAGCTAACACAGTATGTAATACCAGGGTCGGCCCAAGCTTGGCCCAATGTTGTAATCATGGCCAAACATTGGACAAGCTTACGCCAGGGTACAGCCAAGATTTGTACACGCTTGCATCCCTTGATACCTTAATATTTAACCGTTTTTACCTTGGCTGCCAAGATTACACTGATTTATGTATTAACTGCAGAAATTTTAGTTAAATATGCTTGTTAAACTTAATATATGTTAACTAAAATTAAGTTATCTTTTAATATCATGCTCTAATGTAAACATAGCATCAATAACAGACTACGTTGCATGTGTTAAACATTTTGTTAAACTTTTTAAAATTGTGTGCGCTACTGCCGATGGCCCCTCTCGCCCATTGTTCCTTTGTTCACATTCCTTCCTATTGTTCGCAAGCCAGCATCCCGGTCCTTCGCCATTTTTCTTAACAAAAGACTTTGTATCCAGTCACAGTAAAACAGGTAGGCCCACTGTAGCCATTTTAGTTCAACAGTGAGAAGTAGTATAACTGTATTTATGCAGAATCTGGAAAACTCGTATTTTTTTGTTGGAAACTTTAACTTTATGGGCCTAAGTCATCAAATAAAAGTTATAAAAGGTAGTTTATTTGAGGTAATAAAAATTAAAATGAGCCTAGATCTAGATCTAGTCTAGATCTATATTAGATCTATATATTATTAATGATACTAGATTCTATATTCTGTTTATTTTGGCATTAGGCTATAATTACATTTTACAATAATCTCCTTTATGATAGATCTAGATAGATAGATCTAGATCTAGATTCTAATAATACTAAATAACTAAAAATCGTAATCGGTGGCCGGAAAGAACCGCAACGGAAAAAAGCGCAACGGAAAAAAGCGCAAATCAAAAAGCGCAACGGAAATAAGCGCATACGGAAAAAAGCGCAAAGAGAAAAAAGCGCACACAGAAAAAAGCGCAAAGAGAAAAAAGCGCAAACGGAAAAAAGCGCAAAGAGAAAAAAGCGCACACGGAAAAAAGCGCAAACAGAAAAAAGCGCAAACGGAAAAAAGCGCAAAGAGAAAAAAGTGCAAACGGAAAAAAGCGCAAAGAGAAAAAAGCGCACACAGAAAAAAGCTCAAACAGAAAAAAGCGCAAACGGAAAAAAGCGCAAAGAGAAAAAAGCGCACACAGAAAAAAGCGCAAACAGAAAAAAGCGCAAACGGAAAAAAGCGCAAAGAGAAAAAAGCGCAAACGGAAAAAAGCGCAAACAGAAAAAAGCGCACACGGAAAAAAGCGCAAATGGAAAAAAGCGCAAACGGAAAAAAGCGCAAACAGAAAAAAGCGCAAACGGAAAAAAGCGCAAACAGAAAAAAGCGCACACAGAAAAAAGCGCAAACGGAAAAAAGCGCAAACAGAAACAGAAAAATGCGCAACCAGAAAAAACACAACGAAAAATGTGCAAAAGAGAAATTTAGCACAAAGACCATATGGACTAGATGACACATTTATACATGACTGTTAGGGCTGCTGTGAAAGTGTCGTGTTTGATCACGTGATCTACTACCATTTAAAGCGTACCACTACCATCTGCATTCCCATCACCACGATACAGGCGATAATCACTTTACACAATGCCTATTATTTTCTTGGTCAATAATTATTCAACTACTATTCTCGTATAAACATAAAACTATCGACATTACACGAAGTATCTTTCACATTCTCCCTAGTCCGAACTACCTAGCTTGCATACTATAACAACCCGTTCCTATGGCAAATCTTCACTCTCTTTCATCCGCATCATCAAACATGCATTCGTCATATCTCTCGTAACAACATTCATTCGCACCAAAATAACAATTTTGTATTTAATATTTTTTCACATCATGACTTACCTACCTACCTACCTACTACCCACCTACCCACCTTCCTACCTACCTACCTTACTACCCACTTACCCACTTACCCACCTACCCACCTACCCGCCTACATACTTACCAAACTACCCACCAAAAAAGTATCGGCGAAGTTCGTAAGTTTCGTAAACTGTACTAGACATCATTTTTTAATGAAATTTCATTGACATCATTGACATATGTTACATATATGTTACATTTTGCGACAACCTTAATTAGTGCGTTGGGCTTGTATGAAAACTCACTTCGAACTAACTCAATTACATGCTATTTATTTTAACATTACACGGTAAGCGTCACCCAACTGTTGTGATGTGAGGTGAGGACAGGTTCGACAATAAACCAACACGAAAGTACGAAAGAGACTTAGATTGCCTATTAGATAATGGACCCCTTAACTTTCCTAACCCCACCATTTATTATACCCTACCTAACCTCTAAATTTACTGCGCTAAATGTCACTTCCCTCCAATCGTTCCTATTCTACAGAATTGTGTATACTATTTAATTACATTCTTTAATCTCAATATAACTAAAATAGACTTTTGTTTGAAGGGTAATGAAAACATGTAAACAAAAGGGACGCTACTCTAAATCTATGCGAATACTTATATGCAGTGGCGTAGGCAGGGGGGGGGTTTATGGGGGGTCATAACCCCCCCCATAGACCCCTCGGTATATATATATATATATATATATATATATATATATATATATATATATATATATATATATATATATATATATATAAAGTATGAGGGGGGTGGATATCAAAGTTTAAGGGGAGGGGGGGGGGTACAATCGAAAGTTTGAGGGGGGGGGGGGGGAAGTCTGGAAGAAACACTGCATGTAGCCTGATGTTATTATAAAACTTCATCTCTCTTTGTTTCTTTATAAAAAGGTTACGGAAGGTTTTTAAGGTATTTTACTGAAATGTTTACCGGACGAATGCAAAATGATATAAACAACCATTGCTCTTCTGTTATATAGGCTACATGCAGTTTTTCTTCCAGACTTCCCCCCCCCCCCTCAAACTGTCGATTGTACCCCCCCCCCCTCAAAGTTTCGATTTGCATATATATATATATATATATATATATATATATATATATATATATATATATATATATATATATACCGAGGGGTCTATGGGGGGGTGATGACCCCCCATAAACCCCACCCCTGCCTACGCCACTGCATATAAGTATTCGCATAGATTTAGAGTAGCGTCCCTTTTGTTTACATGTTTTCATTACCCTTCAAACAAAAGTCTATTTTAGTTATATTGAGATTAAATAATGTAAATTAATAGTATACACAATTCTGTAGAATAGGAACGATTGGGAGGGAAGTGACATTTAGCGCAGTAAATTTAGAGGTTAGGTAGGGTATAATAAATGGTGGGGTTAGGAAAGTTAAGGGGTCCATTCTCTAATAGGCAATCTATGTCTCTTTCGTACTTTCGTGTTGGTTTATTGTCGAACCTGTCCTCACCTCACATCACAACAGTTGGGTGACGCTTACCGTGTAATGTTAAAATAAATAGCATGTAATTGAGTTAGTTCGAAGTGAGTTTTCATGCAAGCCCAACGCACTAATTAAGGTTGTCGCAAAATGTAACATATATGTAACATATGTCAATGATGTCAATGAATTTTCATTAAAAAAATGATGTCTAGTACAGTTTACGAAACTTACGAACTTCGCCGATACTTTTTTGGTGGGTAGTTTGGTAAGTATGTAGGCGGGTAGGTGGGTAGGTGGGTAAGTGGGTAAGTGGGTAGTTAGGTAGGTAGGTAGGTAGGTGGGTAGGTGGGTAGTAGGTAGGTAGGTAGGTGCGTCATGATGTGAACAAAATATTAAATACATAATTGTTATTGTGGTGCGAATGAATGTTGTTACGAGAGATATGACGAATGCATGTTTGATGATGCGGATGAAAGAGAGTGAAGCTTTGCCATAGGAACGGGTTGTTATAGTATGCAAGCTAGGTAGTTCGGACTAGGGAGAATGTGAAAGATACTTCGTGTAATGTCGATAGTTTTATGTTTATACGAGAATAGTAGTTGAATAATTATTGACCAAGAAAATAATAGGCATTGTGTAAAGTGATTATCGCCTGTATCGTGGTGATGGGAATGCAGATGGTAGTGGTACGCTTTAAATGGTAGTAGATCACGTGATCAAACACGACACTCTCACAGCAGCCCTAACAATCATGTATAAATGTGTCATCTAGTCCATATGGTCTTTGTGCTAAATTTCTCTTTTGCACATTTTTCGTTGTGTTTTTTCTGGTTGCGCATTTTTCTGTTTCTGTTTGCACTTTTTTCCGTTTGCGCTTTTTTCTGTGTGCGCTTTTTTCTGTTTGCGCTTTTTTCCGTTTGCGCTTTTTTCTGTTTGCGCTTTTTTCCGTTTGCGCTTTTTTCTGTTTGCGCTTTTTTCCGTTTGCGCTTTTTTCTGTTTGCGCTTTTTTCCGTTTGCGCTTTTTTCCGTTTGCGCTTTTTTCCGTGTGCGCTTTTTTCTGTTTGCGCTTTTTTCCGTTTGCGCTTTTTTCTCTTTGCGCTTTTTTCCGTTTGCGCTTTTTTCTGTTTGCGCTTTTTTCCGTTTGCGCTTTTTTCTGTTTGCGCTTTTTTCTGTGTGCGCTTTTTTCTCTTTGCGCTTTTTTCTGTGTGCGCTTTTTTCTCTTTGCGCTTTTTTCCGTGTGCGCTTATTTCCGTTGCGCTTTTTGATTTGCGCTTTTTTCCGTTGCGCTTTTTTCCGTTGCGTTTCTTTCTGGGAACCATCGTAATCACAGAGGGCGGTTAATTTTGACAGCACTTTTTTTTTGTATTGAAAAGTATGCAAGTACGTTTGGGGTTATATTGATTATTGATAGATCTATGTATTTATTGGTTTTCAACTTTAGGTATAATTATCACGCACAGGGGAAGGGGGGGGGGGGCTTAAATGTTAATAAATTAATAAATAATCATTCACTTTAACTTTTAAAAAAAACTTAATTTTATTGTTCTAGGCCTATTTGTGTAAGGATTTGAAACTGTCTTTAATATTAATTCAGAGATAGAGAGAGAGAGAGGAACAGTAGACACAATTATAGAACACATTTCTACATGTTAAACAAACAGTCACAGTGTATTTTGATAGGTATTAATTTTGAAAAAAATTAGTCAACTAGAATTCTAAATTGATTCAAGATTGTCATTCAAATTTCTATTACTGTTACAGCTCCCTATGGGAGAATAAGATGTCATCATCATCACTCCTTTGTGGCCCCTGGGGAGCAAAGGGCTGCAACCACACATCTCCAGCGGACTCGGTTTTGGGCTGCTCTCCTTGGCCGGCCCACCCTCCTTTTTCCCTGGGAATTCCAGTCTAATGCATGTTTTGATGAATAAGATGTAAGTTGTGTAAATAGTAGTGTGGAGACCTCAGAGCAACACTTAATTTCATGACCAACAGCGATAAGATGGTACTATTAGTAAGCCATACTTAATGATCAACACTACTCATATTATCATATAGATGACAGAGTAGGCAAATGGTTGAGGACACTATTGCTAAACATAAAGCCAAGTTAGTAGTACATTCATCAGTTCACCTAAGTCTGATATATACCCAATTTAAGACTATGAAATAAAAAAGGTGGCTAGATATAGATCTAGTGTTGACTACACAAATCCTTTATATACAGAGATCAAATAAACAGAGATACTTAAAAATTAGTATCTAATCTGGCTATCACTCACTCATTTTATTATTATATTATATAATAATTATATAATATCTTATATTATTATATTTAATAACTAAGAATGCCATTTATTTTCAGGTCTCCAGGTGTTGTGTGTATCAATCAGCCCACTGTATCAATCTTTTAATAAATTATAAGGTCCCCACTGCTTGATACTTCACCAAATACTGGCTACACCAGAAGATGACTAAATGTTCTTAACACTTAACAACTGTAAGTTTACATTGTTTCAAAGTGAATAATAATTTTCATTTAGTAATTTTTGCTTGCATGTAATGATCAGCATGTGTAGTTAATGCCTTTACTGATATTAGTAAAAAAATTTCAGACCACAAGCATTACTTCTGGGTCACTCTGAAGGGTCTAATCGTTCAATTACTGAATTGATAAAGTTGATGAAATTGCTCAAAAGTTGTCTGGCACCTTCTTAACTCGGAGACATAGGGTAAGGGGTTTATAATATTTATATACATACTATTATTTTTTTTATTACCAGGTCTTTTTTTTCACTTTTGTTTATAAAAATATACATATATAACACAATATAACACAGGTAACTATATATATATATATATATATATATATATATATATATATATATATATATATATATATATATATATATATATATATGCAGTGTAAGTGTTACCTGGGTAGCATGAACACCCCAGACCACCAGTCTTTATACCTATATAATATATCGTTACAAGGTAGCAAACATGATGTTAGGGGCTTCTTGTTGTATGTTCAGTGCAGTGCAAAATAAAATAAACATAATAAATTTAGTGCAAAATGAGCAGTGTATGGTTGTAATTATTTCATAAATAACTTTTAGTGTGTAACTTTTCTTTTTTAGAATGTGGATGGATTATGACATACCTTGCACAAATCAACAACCAGGCTTTTATTGGATTTGAATCCCAAAGGAAAGAGAAATTTTGTTATCCAAAACAAACATGGAAAATATCAGAAACCAACAAAACACAAGCAGGCAGAGTGTTATGGACCCAACTTTGGGGAATCTCCTAAAACCAAGTATAAAAATAGAGAGGTGTGGTTGTGTCTCTCAGCTCCACAAGGGTCCACAAAAATGAGGACAACAGTGATTTTCGTAATAATTTTAGATCAGATTTAAAAAAAAAATTTGATCAGTTGAATCAGGTTAACAGTTTAATACATATTGCATTTAAGTGCTTAACGAAAAGAAAAGATGCTCTTACCAAAATAGTCTAAGAACAATGCTGATTTTAAATTAATAAATTGTTTCCTTTTGTAATAATATAATAATTTAACTTAAGTTGGCATTGTATGTATGTTTAGTGTAGATTTAATGCCCTAAATGAAATATACAATTGACATTTTTTTCTTTAAAGAATTAGTTGCAAATTTCTTTCATTATTTAGTTTCACTGTACAATCTGAAAAAAGCTTGCAACATTTGTATTGACAATACTTCTGCTGGTGATATTTATTTCTAATTAATGAAGTAAATTAATATATATTCAGTTTACTATAATTAAATACCTCATACTCGAGACAAAAAAAAAACATTTATTGAATATCGCAGTGATATTCCTGTTCTACACAATGCGTATAAACCCTCGAACCATCTGTCTTTTGAAAGATTGTACATTTTGTATACACAATGGCATTCATTTCAACACTATTTAACCACAATTATAATCTAGAGATCCTGAACATATTTTCGTTCTGTTATTTATGGACAAGGCAGACTGGTCCAGCATTAAAATGTAATATACCTTAATTAGAATACTTAAACGAGCTATGCAATTAAATGTTGTTAGACAAATATTTTATACTTTTTATTTTTAATGTTATGTTTACGTATCATAGTACAAGACAGCTTCTGTATTCTTGTACAGTAAATTAAGTTTTTACATTAGTTTAATTTAAACTGTAGGCCTGCTTAACATCTGTTACATTATATGAAAATGTTTTGTATATTTGTTTTAATTTGTTTGTATAAAAGTCAAAATGAAAGTTACTACACTATTATTTACATATTCGTTTTCAATCAATACTTTATAGTATAGTTATAATTTTCTTACAATTGAATGGATGGTATAATACAGATTTTAATAGATGAGCAGTTATTGTGTATGTATTGCTGCTTTACTACATTTTGATTAAAATTTCTTTCACATTTTGAAATTAACTTTGTAAATATTATGACTGATATGAGAATGGATCTTTTTGTATGCTAAAAATAAAAATTTGAGCCAAGATGTAGCCAGGATATAATACAGGATGAGCCAAGGTATAGCCAATATTGGGCCAAGATATAGCCATTATTGAGCCAAGATGTAGCCAATATTGGGCCAAGATGTAACCATGATATAGACAATATTGGGCCAAGATATAGCCAATATTGAGCCAAGATGAAGCCAATATTGGGCCAATATGTAGCCGGGATATAGCCAATATTTGGCCAAGATCTAGCCAATATTGGGCCAATATGTAGCCGGGATATAGCCAATATTGTGCCAACATTGCGCCAACATCATGCCGAGTTTCACTACCAATGTTTGGCCAAGGTTAAGCCAATGTTGCACCAAGATGTAGCCAATATTGGGCCAATATATGTGTGCTGACTGGGAAAGGAAAGGATCAAAGCAGAAACCCGACACGGTACAAAGGCTGTCATTGACACAAAACGTCAACAACACACGATATGTTCGGACAAGGCCGAATGAGGAGAGGCCGGCCAGAGAATAGCTTACGGCAAAACATATGCAAAACACAATGATCATGTCTAAATTTCTATTATAATTAACTTTTCTACCGCGTATTTAACTAAATACGTAACACAAGTTGAGATTGTAAATTATCTTAGAGTATTTTTTACTTAAAGTTGTTATCATAAACGATAATGCTTTTAACGGCTATAAATAATATATGGTCAAATAATACAACCCATAACAATAATTTTACAATTTTCAAAAACAAATCAAAATGTTTCTGACAAAGATTTTTGTGACTTTTTTCTGTGACTTTATTTCTGTGACTTTTTTTTCGATAAAATTTTTCCATTGTGACTTTTTTCTGTGACTTTTTTTTCCGGGGGGGGGGGGGGGGCACTTGAAATTTTCAGGGGGGACGGGGACGGACGACGACACCCCCAAAGAGATGCCTGGAAGAAACTCTGCCACCCACCCCGCCCCATACTCACAGCAGGCCGGTCACGCAACACCGATCTTGCTGCCTGGCCCGCCTTACTCAACCAACCCCCACCCCTCCCACCCCTCCCGACCAGCACCGCCATGACCCCATGAATGTGTAACATTCTGGCAACATTTGGTAGATTGTATAATTAGTTTACTTGAAAGCAGTAGCGTAGCGAGGGGGGGGGGGGCGGGGGGACGACGACATATGTCACCGGGCGCCAAAAGGGGTTGGAAAAATAAATTGAAATGTTGAGGGGAGTGCAAATCGAAAGTTTGAGGGGGGGGGGTGCAAATCTAAATCTCGAGCGGGGTGGGGGGTGCAAATCGAAAGTTTGGGGGGGGGGGTGCAAATCGAAATCTTGAGGGGGGGGGGGATGCAAATCGAAAAGTTTGTCCCCGGGCGCCGGGAAGGGTCGCCACGCCTCTGTTTGTGATTACATTTATTTATTGATGATACTTTGGCAGAACATTACTTTTTTCTGCAACAGCATTTTTATATTGATGCTGCCAGTAATGACAATCCTATTTATTGTACACATCATTTGTTTATATACACATCACCCTTCCCTCGATGCATCTAAGATGTAAATTACTAAGCCTGGTGCTCCTAATATTTTATTATGTGAGACTGGAAGAGTCATCTCCCCTTTTAGGTAACCCAAAAGTAAAACTGCAACCCGGTATTTTTTTTTTTTTTTTTTTTTGTGTAACATGGAATATTTTCAAACTTTAATATTACAGATAGAAGGAATTGGACATCTTTATTATTATTTTCAGCGCTATTAAAGCCACACGACCTTTAATTTAAGTTTAATTTGATATCATTAGGATACTACTGAACGTTTATGTATATTATTTTTTTTTTTTTATACATATTTTTATTAATTTATAGTTTGCTATTGCTGAATGATAATCATAAACGGAGTTCATCTAACCTCAGATACTTTGTAATCTGTACTATCTGTTGTACTTAACCCCTATAATTATTCCCCTTTGGGTCTATATTTGTTAATTTTTTTCTTTCTGTATATATCAATCATCACATACTATCATACTAGACACGATGTAAATTATTATTAATTTATCTCTTGTTACTGTTAAACATGTTGTAACTTGTTTTGTTGCAAATAAAATTATTCAAGAAAATAAAAATGAACTTTATATATTAGATAATATCTAATACATAAAGTTCATTATTATATAATCTAAATCTATATATTGAGAACCACTGGTATAAAAATGATTGGTCATAAAAAGTAGGATCTATAAAGAATTGTAACTGATTTAACTACACGTTATTCTAACCTGAAAAAAAACGCTTAAAAATTTATAATATATCTTCTTGTTCTGGTTAGAATAATATTAACTTTATTTAAGGCACGTATTCAAATTTTGAAATTTTAAACTATTGAATTGTCCTGGTACCGTTATGCACTGTTTCAGATTTTTAAACAGAGCATTACTATGGCCACAGTAAACGTAATGGCGGACGATAGAAATTTAAAGTACATCAGAGATTAGAGCCTACACTGTTTTGTTTTTTATAAAGGTGAAAATGAATGGAAAACTGTAAGGCTTGAATTAGGGGAATCACACGATATAGCGTCGGATATTATCCTAAAACGTCTGTTGAGTTTTGTAAACATTCGTTACCGTAAACTGCCGTCATGCCGTCACGGCGTCATAAATTAAATTTTTTATTAAATCATATTGTAAACTGTAAATTGCTTATAAAATTACTGTAAACAATAGTAACATAGTATTAGACCGTTGTAGTTTTATCTAATTTAATTTAAGCTGAAGGCCTAGTAACTTAATAAGTTGAAATATAAAGTTAAGTTAACTAAACTAAACTCTACATAGGCCGTTCGGTCCAACGCTTCCGGGTTTGACATTTTCGAGGCATCTCACGGCTCATGCGCTTACTAAAAATGGCGACCAGTTTCGCTTTCACTAAACGGTAGAGGGATAAAACTAATAATTATGAGACCATCGTTAATTTTAGACATCGGAACTATCCGTTTCTATTTCAGTCTGATATTTAAGAATTTCCAGATGTACTTTTGACCTAATTTCTTTGTTTGTCTTGCAAGTGACGCGTAAGTGAGAATAGCTCTATAAATTCTTATCTTTTATATCAAATAACTCTTACATATCGCTTCACAGCGCAAACCAGCTTATGTCAGATGTAAACTCTAAAGTATTAATTGTACACACATTACAATTAACTGGTAATAATTTATTGTGTTAATGAGATATGTGCGTGGGTAAACGATCACCCCCAATAATGCCATTTTATTATAATCTTGGTTAGTGAAAACGAGGCGCGGGAAAATGTGTGCTGCACAAGAATCCAAGTATTTTGCTAGATTTATGACTGTTTTTTTTATGTCACACCTAAAAATAGAATGTTTACGCTTTCTTCATTGATGATCGTTTTTATTATTTTTTAAACTGAAAGTAGATTGCAGGCTTTGTAACTTGGTATACTTACCATTTATCAATTTTAAAAGCATAGCATCCTGATTGTGTACAAATATACTAATATAGTCATAAAACACAGAAACATTAAGTTATAATTACAATGTGCCACACCCGGGCCACACCCCCTCAAGAAAACACGTGTTTATTAAGCTGTTTATCTCACTTTACAACAGTAATTAAGATTAATTTTCAAATTTTTATCACTTATTGGGTAAGATTAAGCACATGTTTACTAAAAATAAAAAAAAAGACAAAAGCAAATTCTGTTTTAATGAGGGTCACGGGTCAAGTTTTTTTTCCTTCTGTCAAGTTCAGTGGAGGGTGCCACAGGCTGACCTGACTTTGGAATTTTTTTCAGAAATAATGACTTTACACAGAAAGTTAAAATATTATATGCCAAATTAGCTTAGTTTACTAATGTTCTAGCTATTATTGATACATTTTTAATAAAAAAAATCATTCTGTAATTCTCATCAAAAAGCCTACTCTACGTCTAACTAAACTAACTAGTAACTAGATGCAGTTACAAGGCCTAATTACTAATTAAATTATAAGAAGATTTTCTAAATACTTAGATCTAGTTAAATCTAGTATTCTAGTATTACTAATCTAAACTTATACTAATTGTACTAACTAATTAATAACGTTTTATTAAAATTTAATTGTCATAACTGACAGAAAACAAAAACAACATAAGGGAAATTAGTAACAATTACTGCCAGTTAATACTGTTACTAGATCTAGAGCTACTTACATAATTGCGAATGTACATAGCAGTAAATCTTTTGTCTATTTTATGGCTCATGGAAAATTCATTTGCATCAAGTATGCAAAACCATGGTGGGAGCGCAGAAACTGTTCATTTATGAACACTTCTGTGTCAAGTAGGCCTTCTTTAATTTTCTGTTTCTGGAAATTTTTTTAGAATTTTTAATATGTTGCATAGTACACAAATTTCTATTTTTTCACCACCCCGGATAAAGTGCCTATGGTTGGACTTAGCGATAAAGCTTGAACTAATCAATGCTTAGCTAAAAGTTTAGACTCAAACTAGTTTATATATATCCATGGAACATTGTAAATATCAAAGTTAAAGGGGTTTTTTGTCCTCTGAAATAATAAAACAGGGTGTTCGCAGAAATATTAGGATTTTTTTGGGCTCTCACATTGCTGCAAATGGCAAGATAAAAATTTTTACTAAATAAGAGTTTAGAGTTTAGACGTAAATTAGATCTAGAATCTATCTAAAATTCTCTTAACATATTGCGACAGATCTAGAATCTATCTAAAATCCTCTTAAAATATTGTGACAGCCTGCCGCAATGCATAGGATAGGTACACTAGTTTTTATATATAAATATAAATCGTTCACAATCTTTTTGGTAACAATTGTATTTAGTTGATGATTATTTTATATTTTCAGGGAAATCATCAAACAATTATATATCAAATAGCTCACACAGAGCAGTGTCAGTATGGTACATTCCAGATCTATAAAGCTGCCTAAACACACACAAAATGGTATGTTCTGTATTTTTAATAAAATAAAGTTCTTTGGCTCGTATTTTGAGTTTGTGAACTTACTGTGACGGTGTACTAATTGTATAAATATTTGCTCGACTAACTTGAATAGGCATACAAATAGCATGTAAAGAAGTAGCCTTGTGTATTTACCATGGAGAAAGAAAACTTAATAATGTATTGGCTATAAAATTCCTCTTTACATTCTGGTTGCAGAAAACATGTTACTAGATAAGCTGTCATGGCATCATTTGTTAGCCAACAAGTGCAAGTTATATAAACCAGACACAGTAAAGTAGTTCTGTACTGTGTTGATTTATGTATGTACTAGCCGTCCCGGCCAGGCCCTGCTCTGGCTTCTGTGAAAAACCTTTCTGTTAAAGACCATTACCTGTGTGTTTAGTAATCATCATAAACCCGGCATTGCTCACCCAAACCACGACCAACCAAAACCAAAACAACAAAACGCAAACATAACGCTAACACAATTACAAATACAAACGAAAACAAAAACCTAGCAACAAACCCAACCACAACCACAAACACCAATACAAACACAAAGAAAAAACAAACAAAAAAGCAAACGAAAACAAAAACCTAACAACAAACCCAACCACAAACACCAATACCAACAAAAAAAAAAAAAAAAAAACGAAAAAGCAAACGAAAACAAACCAAATCCAAACGCAAAACCAACCAAAAACACAAATACAAACCCAAACAAAAAAACACAAACAAAAACGAAAAAAGAAAGAACGAAAACAAACCAAATCAAAACGCAACCACTAACGCAAACCCACCTAAACACAAAGAAAACACTAACGCGAACATAAACGCCCGGGGCAGAATCGCCTGTTTTAGCTTAATAAACGACTATAGTACCCCAACTTATTCATAGTTTTTGCACTCACTTAAACGAACGCGCCTGTTTCAATTTAATGAACAATTATAATACTCCAAGCTTATCCGTAAAATACCTACAACATTTGCACTTGATCAATCCCCGCTAATTATGTAATTATTTTTTTCCCAACACCAAAACAAAGTAATTAAAAAGTAAATGCTTTTCAACTAATGCAATGGTTTTATAAAGGGAAGTAATTGTGTTTGCCTAATTTATCAAAGGGAAGTAAGCGCTATAGGACTATAGAAAGACATAATTAGAATTTTTGTAAAAGATGATATTTTTTTTAAAACTTGTGTTTAATGAACATGCCGACAATTATTACTATAATTTGAAAAATGAAAATGATTTCCCAACACTTTTAATAGTAATTTTTTAACTCATAAATTTAGACAAATGCGCACGATAATTGATCTAACACTTAACCCTTTATTTACGGAATTAGGTTCCGAATAATATTTTTTCTTAAACAATGTGTTATCATATTGCTTTTGGCACATTTAAAGCATATGTCGGCGGAAATTTTGTTTCATAAATTTTTAAGGGCCCAAACATGTATTGGTACTTATAAGTACCGTCAGGAATGTAGGACATTTTTTCCAAAAATTAAAAAATTTACAAAACAGGAAAAAACGATACAACTTATTTAATAATAACATGGCAATCATTATAACAATCATTTTTTGTAATTTTCACACATAAACCCAGCACAAAAGTATATTTTGAGTACGATTTTTACTGGATTTTCTATCGGAACACATCTTAGACCTGAAACACAGCAAAAGGTGCCGACATGTCATGCTCCATCATTCCTCATTCCTTAGAATTCTTGTCTGTCGTCTTTCTGGTGTGGTAGCAGTTGCCGGACTGAACCTGCTTTTGCTAGAGGCTTCTAATAGCCATTACAATGAGCCGCATAAACACATATTTTGAAAACGAAAGCCTATTCATTCAGTACACTACTACTAGTAATACTAGTATAATTGTAGCCTACTGGAATGTTATGGACAAGTATACACTACAGTGTAAAGTTCATAAATAGAAGTGAGTTCAATGTGTATGGAAGAGCCGTAGTGGCCTACTGTTTTGTGTTTACTGATTCAAAATTACAAAACGATCTATACTACATGCAGATGTATGGACTATTACTAGTCTACATGTGTACATTATGTACACGCTAGCTATTGTATGCAAGACAGTTTTTGCATCAAATATAACTTACAAATCTTACTTCTAGAACTAGATTTTGGTATACAAATAACGTATACTAAACCTAGTAAACGAGCCTGCAACTGCCATCTCTATTCTTGTTATTCTTTTACTACTAGAAATCTGCAATTAATTACAATATTTCTGCGGAAAACCCTATGCTAACCTTCTTATAAATGCATAAATATATGTTTTTAAGTACATTTCGATAATTAATTATCAAAATAATATTTATGTCACTGCACATCGAAAATCAGCAATTTCCAAGAAATCCTAAAAAAATGTCCGTGTGCCCTGACGGTACTTATAAGTCCACTTGTAAACATCGATCTATTACAAAGACAATTTGATAAAAATTGTATAACTAGAAGTTAAATGCATTTGCCTGCCTATTGAAGATGCCAATAAAAAATATTCGGTGTTGAAAATGTGAAGAATAAGGTTAAACAAAAGGAAATCAGGAACACATGTGAGATATGTACAGAACAATTGTGAACTACCGATACAGGTAGAGATTGAAAATGGCGCCACACCATAAATTTTCAAAAAAAATCGTTCCCTCCACCTACCTGTGACTCAAGGGAGATCATACTATCAATTACATCAATAATTTTTGAAATTCGTCTTAAATTAAAAATAATACAGGCGCTTAATTAAAGTGGTACTTAAAAGTACCGTCAGTAGATAAAGGGTTAAATCCGTAGAAATGCCAACGACAAACATATGCGTTACAGAATTGAGCTTTATATATTAGATTAAATAATGCATTCTTCTAGCTAGCAAGAGGGGGTTTAGTATCTGTATGCTGTTCAGTTTTTTCTCCAGTACTATCAACCTAATAAATGTCTTTTCCATATTTTCCACTCAGTGGAGATCTAATTGCTCCTCGATCTTAAGGCAGCATCCAAACCTAGAAATCTAATAGCTATGACGCTGATCATTTTTTTCTCTTGAAAGCAAACTTAACTCCCCCTGCACATCTTTTTGCAGAACATTCGCCACTTTTTAAAAAACTTTGCCTTCAACTAGTGTTTGGTTATATTAAACATATTTCCTAATGTTGATCCATATGTGGTTTGAGCTAAGGAAGATGTAATCATCATTTAGCCAGCACTTCCTGTAGACTTCTCCTGACTTCAAAAACACATTTATTGCAAATGTCCTCTTTAGCATGCAGTTATGTTATGAGTAGGGTCAACCATTACACATTTGAAGATAAACCTCTTCTCCCACCCTGTATACTTTGGATACATTGGACAAACATGTCCTCTCCCATAAATTTGTATGTTAAAAAAGTTTTATTAGTTTTTAATTCTGATATACTGATGTAATGCGTATGGTTATTTGCTATGCTAATAATTTATTGATTAATTTATTTTATTAGGAGAGGTCTGTTAATGTTGTTACATATTAAAGGTAGAATCTAGATATGATTTTGCTTTTTTAACCAAATTTAAAAATAATTTCCAAACAAAAAATTCTGGTTATTTTAATGTCTGGACATTCACATTGACTCAGTTCCATTTGGTTTTGGTGCACACCAGTTGACCCTTGTTAGACCCCTCCCCCCCCCACCTTTCTTCCCCCAGCTGTGTAGATTTTCCTTCTTTACGTACTTTGTTTTTGTCAAGTTTTTTGGTCCCAGTTTCCTGCTCTCCCAGCATGAATAGTTCCCATAAGGACATGCTATTTAAATGATATTTTAAACAATGTGCTACATAAAGTTACAAATAAATATTTTCTGATGGTTCTTTATTTAACAAAGACTACGACAGCACACTGAAATAGAAGACCATCTGAAGCCCATTAAGCCCATTGAATGGAGTCCAGCAGTGAAAAAAAATCTAGTAGCGCTTTGCAAGAAGTCACTGAGGAGTCAATCCCAGATGAGACTGCTGAGGGCACATCCATTACAAGTAGCTCTTTCACTGATGCCGGGGGAGCCTGGAGGAAAAACTGGCAGGGAGGAAAGATCAAAATTAAGAAACCTGGCAAGGCAAAGAAGTCTGGAGAAGGGAAAAAAGGCGGAAAAGGAAAAAAAGGTGGAAAAGGAAAAAAAGGAGGAAAAGGGAAAAAAGGCGGAAAAGGAAAAAAAGGTGGAAAAGGAAAAAAGGGCAAAGGAAAAAAAGGTGGAAAAGGAAAAAAAGGCAAAGGGAAAAAAGGTGGAAAAGGAAAAAAAGGCAAAGGCAAAAAGGGCAAAGGAAAGAAAGGCAAAAAGGGAAAAAAAGGAAAGAAAGGCAAAAAAGGCAAAAAAGGAAAGAAAGGCAAAAAAGGAAAGAAAGGCAAAAAAGGAAAGAAAGGCAAAAAGGGCAAAAAAGGAAAGAAAGGCAAAAAAGGAAAGAAAGGAAAGAAAGGTAAAAAAGGAAAGAAAGGCAAAAAAGGAAAGAAAGACAAAAAACACAAAGCGGGAGCGGATGGAGCACCCATGCCATCTCTTTCTGAAATAATGTTTAGTGATGCTGCGTTCTTTAACCTTCAGTACATTGCTCATGATGTCATTGATGCCCTCAGATTTAGAGGCTTTGAATGGCCACAGGGGACAAAAAAAAAGAAGAAGAAAGGAAAGGGCGGCGGAAAAGGGGGAGGAAAGGGAGGTAAAGGAAAGAAGGGAGGTAAAGGAAAGAAGGGAGGTAAAGGAAAGAAGGGAGGTAAAGGAAAGAAGGGAGGTAAAAAGAAAAAAAAGTAATTTAATGAGTAAGGTGGATGGGTCTGTTTGGGACTTGAGTGCCTTGTTTCATTCCGTACTCTGGCTTTTGTTCTCATATAAACATCGTACAGATGAAGGTTGATGTCCGACTGAAGATAGTGTAGTTCTGCCAGGGCTAAAGACATAAAGACAGACGGAAAATTGATCATTGCCAGTCATTGCTGGATAGTGGTGGGACATTGGAACAGGCAAGCTTGTCATTGGGAGGCCAGTAGTCAGTGATAACATCATGATGTCAGTGTAAAGTCAGTGATAACATCATGATGTCAGTGTAAAGTCAGTGATAACATCATGATGTCAGTGTAAAGTCAGTGATAACATCATGATGTCTGTGTAAAGTCAGTGATAACATCATCATGTCAGTGTAAAGTCAGTGATAACATCATCATGTCTGTGTGAAGTCAGTGATAACATCATTTTGCCAGCTAGTCAAGGATAACATGCTGTCAGCTAGTAAATGGGATGTCCATCATAACATCATGATGTGAGCTGGTCTGTGGCATGTCTGTGATATCATCATGATGTCTGTGTGAAGACAGGGAAAACATCATGATGTCAGCCAGTCAGTGGTGATAAGATCATGATGTGAGCTTGTCAGTGTGATTTCACTGATAACATCATGATGTCTGTGTCAAGTCAGTGATAACATCATGATGTAAAATATTCAGTGTGATGTCAGTGATAACATCAAAGTATACGCTGCTCATCATCAAATGAATTATGGACTAAACATACATTGGACATTGTGAGTAAGAAACACATTACTTCCTTACACAAAAGGAATTACATCCTTACATTAAAAAAAATGAAATATTGGTAATTTTTACAATCATATATTTGATATTTTTATCCATCCAAAATACATTTATTTTACATGCATTGAGTTGTGTGACTTGGGTTTATAGATGTTTTGTTCAGTAACAAACAGTGTCCACAGTTGAACATTTTTGCAGTTTTGTTTCAGTTATAATTGATAAACTTTTGGTGAGTTATACAACACAATTGTCTGAATGTTTAATAAATTTTGTTGTTGTTGACCTTCACTTTGTTGATATTTCAACTGTTCAATTCCCTGTTGTGTTTGTTGATAAACACATTACCCATGTTTTTTTACCTTCACTTTGTTGAGATTCAACTCTTCAATTCCCTGTTGTGTTTATTGATAAGCACATTACCCCCCATGTAGCTGACTTGCTTACAATAGCCTGTAGCCACCTGGCCAATAACTAGCACAGAGTGAAGCATCAGAACACAGATAAGATGGACCTGCCTTAGGGATTGAGTCTTGAGTTCAACTCTAATCTAAGCAGTGTACTGGCTTGGTATCAAAGTTGTTTAAATATTTTTTAGTATTGGTTCATTGTTTTTCTCTGTTCTTTTTTTATTTGAATTGTTATCCAGTCTTTGAAAAAAAATGTTTATTTCACAATTCATCAGAATGAAGCAGTTTTTCTGTGCAGGGTTTCTTTCAGGCTTCTTTTTCTGTTATGTCATGAGTGGGGGGGGGGTAATATAGTCCTACTAGAAAGGGTGTGGTGGGGGGAGGGTGGCAGAGATATGCCTGAAAGAAACTGATTGATGCTTTGATTAAAACCCCCCTTCACCTGACCCGCTTAGCATGCTCGTACCCCGATTATCAAATTGTTATTCAATTGTCTATTGTCTGCCTGCCAGCCATTTTTTTCTAACCTAGTGTGGCAGGAACATTCTGGCCGTATTAGTTTGATTATTGTTGAAGCAATGTGTAACATTGTTGAAGCAATGCGTAACATTGTTTAAACAATATTAAACATTGTTGAAACAATATGTAACATTGTTGAAATAATATTTAACATTGTTGAAGCAATGTGTAACATTGTTTAAACAGTATCAAACATTGTTGAAACAATATGTAACATTGTTGAAATAATATTAAACATTGTTGAAGCAATGTGTAACATTGTTTAAACAGTATCAAACATTGTTGAAACAATATGTAACATTGTTGAAACAATATTTAACATTGTTGATGCAATGTGTAACATTGTTGAAATAATATTTAACATTGTTGAAGTAATGTGTAACATTGTTAAAACAATATTTAACATTGTTTCAACAATATCTACCATTGTTGAAACAATATCTAACATTGAAGTAATGTGACAATACAGTTTCACCACTTCAACTAAAGCTAAAAGATCAGATAAATGGTTCACTAATTGACTGGAATTACTTCACTTAATCCTCTTTACCCCTTGTGGAGCATAGGGCCTCAACTATAACCTCCCATTTTGTCCAGTCCCCAGCTGTTGATTTTACAGCTTCCCAAAACATTCCTGCTTTCTTCAGTTCATCAAGAAGACTCTGCTTCCAGGTCTGTCAAGCGCTCTCCTGTCATTTCTCTCTCTTTCACTTTCCCGTTGCACTCCAACACCAGGCATATCACATTAGAGCGAGTCTTTATGTGTGTCCCACCTAGCGCCACTTCCTCCTTAATTGCACTGTCATTGGCTCCTGCCCTGTTCTTCTCTCTAGGTCTATATTCCTCACGTTGCCCTACCAATATCAGATTCTGTTCCCTAATTGTTTACCTTTAATTTCTACCACAGGGAGGTAAAAAAAAATCCAGTAAAAAATCCAGCAAAAAGTCCAGTAAGAAGGCAGGTAAAAAGTCAGGTAAGAAATCTGGAGGCTCACGCAAGTCCAAGTCAGCAAAAAGTTCCCTTGGGTCAGCTAAGGCCAAGGCAGCGCCGGTGGACATGATGAGTCCAGCTGCCATGGAAAACTTGTATTTCATAGCTCATAATGCACCAGACGCACTGGAGAAGTGGGGCTTTAGCGCGGAGTCAGGTGGGACAAAGAAAAAGAAAAAAGGAAGAAAAGGAAAGAAGAAAAAGAAATAATTTTAATTGTCAGATAGTTTTCTAGGTTTGTTAGTTTTTTTGTAAGTTTGTTACGATTACATTTTGTTCACTTAAAAGCAGCTGATAAGCACACCAATAAAGTTCCCCATCTCCCCTAAATTCTAAAAATATCTGTGCCTTTATAGAAGAAGTTTTTTTTTCTTGCCTCAATTTTCAATTATTAAAAAACATAATAATAAAGAATTTCATAAATGTGTATTGATCCACATAGTATTTTGTTCAACAGAAAGCTCATGCACTAAAGTAATAAATAAGTAACATTACAAAAGTACATTGTCATACTACAGGAAATTTATCAGATCTGCTGTCTTGTTCAATAATTTTAACGTTAGATCATTACCTCAAACTGCTGGTCATATGACATAATATCCTCTAGTTTTTTCAGTCTTTTGATTTTCATTGAAATCTTCCAATTTTATTAGTCCTCTTTTTATTAAAAGAAAAGATTTTCAAACTTACTGACTCATAAAATATTTAATTGTTTGTAAATATATTAAATAGTTTATAGAATATATATCTATATTTTATGTTTACATTTTCATTAGCTCAAATATATAATAATTAGGCCTATAAAACATGTGCCACATTTAACTTATATACTTTCCATTACCTTTTTTACACAAGGGAGAGTAGAATGCCAGGTTGGTCAAATATAAAATAATTGTCTTCTCGTGCCAATTTTTATAAGTTGGGGTTAAATGTTAATTATAAAAAAATGTTTTTGTCCAATGTGTTAAAAAACTATTTCCTGCTGAATTGTGATAATGTAAAAATATTTGCTTGGTTTAGACAAAATGTATCATCTCTTATCTTCATAACAAAAATCTGATTGTTAGGATGTTTAGATTTTAAGCAATTTAAATTAGAAATTTTATTTTAAAATCTGTATGAGATGTGTCCAAATCGAAAAAGAACAATGTTTTTCAATTTATAAAGTACTTTGCAAAAATTAATAATTGCATACATTATTTTAATTCAAGGTTTAAATCTTAAATCTGACAGACGGCTTTTACTGTGATATTTGTTAATCTGCCTGTAACGAAAATGAATGATGTCAGGAGATTCTTGTGATATATTGCTATATTTTATTATCAACTCAATAACTAAACTCTCATTTCTTACAAATATATCAAGTTCTTGTAGTGCAAGGTATTCTAAGGATTGTCCATAAATAACATCATCCCCCCCTCCCACACCCCCCTCACCCCACCTCTGCCCATAAGGTCTGACCTCATGCTATGTAGGTGTGGTACATGTATGTGTGGTGTGGGGTAGTGGCCAGATCTCATCAATTTCCTGAACCTTTGTCCACTAAGGACATGAGAATCAAGTTTTAAATTCTATGTTGTTGTTTAAGTTGACAAACCATTGAGTCTCTGAAGATGTTAAGTCTAGCAGCATTACAATGTGTGTTCTAGCTGTGTATTGTTTAAGTAATAGCATTGAGTGCATTAGTCGCCTTCACTGTACAGTGTTTTATATAGGACGTTAAATTTTGAACCTTTTCCATCAGGCTAAAACTGTTCAATTGTTTATGTTGTACAACCAGAGTGTTGATTACCCTGCTTGTTTTGCTCCACCAGTTGTGCCAATGTGTAAACCAATGTTTGAAGACACATACAGAAATCTTGTCCCATGTTGTGACCATTGTGAAAAATGTACACCAAGCTCCCTCAGTTAAACGTGATAGCACAAAGATATCCCATGTTTTTAATTGGTATATGTGACGCCGTCCAACTTTCCAAATGCCAAAACATTTTTTTTATAACCTGTGTATTTTATTTATACAATACAACATAGTTGATGTCAATTTCTACTTGTGTTTTTGCTTATTAGAATCTGTTTTATCTTGTAGTTTTAGTTGTGTATATTGTGTATGTTTTGTTTGCGCTAGACTGCTAACCCAATAGTCTCAAGTTCGAATCCGGTTCCAAGTCATGTTCCAAGTTCCATGTTTTGTATTGTATGTTTTGTCTTGTTTTTATAATTGCTTTTAATGTTTTCAGTATTTCATGGGTAGCCACAGATCTCCTGAGTAGCGTTGATATTATTTTTAAGAACGAGGATGGTGCTAATAAGTATTAAACGTGTCAATAATTAGATGGCGATGTTTAAAACTAAGGGCGATAACCAAGTTTTAAAAATATATTCAACTTTATTTTAAAGAGTTACTTCCCTTATATAAATACCCAAATTAAAAGTGCTGAATGCCGACTGGCCAGTGACGCTAGATCACTTAGCCTCTACTTTTCAGATATACTTTTTACAAGCCAAGAGAATATTGTTTAAATTTTTTTGTCCAAGTTTGTCATGTACAAAACTCAAAAAATGTGGTGGGCAGACTGATGAATTGAAAGATGAGCCATGATGGAGGTTGTTACCTCAAACTGGTCAAGTTGTCAGTAATAAACTTAATTGTGTAAACATCATGTGTAAAGACGCAAGGTAGAGGTTTTTGGTTTTTAGGATCCACTTCGGTGGGAAGGGTTGTCGCAGTGTACCCCACCCCCTCGGAGAATTCTACAGCATACCCGAACCATCAGAGAAATATGGACTTAAATAGATCGTATTTAACTTTAATCCACCCCCCCCCCTCCGCAGTAAAATATCGAAATGAAACTGGAAATGTGTGAGGATGTGATGTGTTAGGTAGTGAGGACGTGAAATGTGAGGTAGTGAGGACGTGAAATGTGAGGTAGTTAGGACGTGAAATGTGAGGTAGTGAGGTTGTGATGTGTGAGGTAGTGAGGACGTGAAATGTGAGGTAGTGAGAACGTGAAATGTGAGGTAGAGAGGACGTTTTGTGTGAGGTAGTGAGGACGTTTTGTGTGAGGTAGTGAGGACGTTTTGTGTGAGGTAGTGAGGACGTTTTGTGTGAGGTAGTGAGGACGTTTTGTGAGAGGTAGTAATGACGTGAAATGTGAGGTAGTGAGGACGTTTTGTGTGAGGTAGTGAGGACGTGAAATGTGAGGTAGTGAGGACGTTTTGTGAGAGGTAGTAATGACGTGAAATGTGAGGTAGTGAGGACGTTTTGTGAGAGGTAGTGAGGACGTTTTGTGTGAGGTAGTGAGGACGTGAAATGTGAGGTAGTGAGGATGTGAAATGTGAGGTAGTGAGGACGTGCAATGTGAGGAAGTGAGGACGTGAAATGTAAGGTAGTGAGGACGAGAAATGTGAGGTAGTGATGACGTTTTGTGTGAGGTAGTGAGGACGTTTTGTGAGAGGTAGTAATGACGTGAAATGTGAGGTAGTGAGGACGTTTTGTGTGAGGTAGTGAGGACGTGAAATGTGAGGTAGTGAGGACGTTTTGTGAGAGGTAGTAATGACGTGAAATGTGAGGTAGTGAGGACGTTTTGTGAGAGGTAGTAATGACGTGAAATGTGAGGTAGTGAGGACGTTTTGTGAGAGGTAGTAATGACGTGAAATGTGAGGTAGTGAGGACGTTTTGTGTGAGGAAGTGAGGACGTTTTGTGAGAGGTAGTAATGACGTGAAATGTGAGGTAGTGAGGACGTTTTGTGTGAGGTAGTGAGGACGTTTTGTGAGAGGTAGTAAGGACGTGAAATGTGAGGTAGTGAGGACGTGAAATGTGAGGTAGTGAGGACGTGAAGTGTGAGGTAGTGAGAACGTGAAATGTGAGGTAGTGAGGACGTGAAATGTGAGGTAGTGAGGACGTTTTGTGTGAGGTAGTGAGGACGTGAAGTGTGAGGTAGTGAGGACGAGAAATGTGAGGTAGTGAGGACGTGAAATGTGAGGTAGTGAGGACGTTTTGTGTGAGGTAGTGAGGACGTTTTGTGTTTCGTAGAGAGGACGTGATGTGTGAAGTAATGATGACGTATTGTGTGAAGTAATGAGGACGTTTTGTGTGAAGTAATGATGACGTATTGTGTGAAGTAATGAGGACGTTTTGAGTGAAGTAATGATGACGTGATGTTTGAAGTAATGAGGACGTGGTGTGTGAAGTAATGAGGACGTTTTGTGTGAAGTAATGATGACGTATTGTGTGAAGTAATGAGGACGTTTTGTGTGAAGTAATGATGACGTATTGTGTGAAGTAATGAGGACGTTTTGTGTGAAGTAATGATGACGTATTGTCTGAAGTAATGAGGACGTATTGAGTGAAGTAATGATGACGTGATGTTTGAAGTAATGAGGACGTGATGTGTGTGTGTGAAGTAATGATGGCGTGATGTGTGAAGTAATGAGGACGTGATGTGTGAAGTAATGAGGATGTGTTGTGTGAAGTAATGAGGACGTATTGAAGTAATGAGGACGTGATGTGTGAAGTAATGAGGACGTGATATGTGAAGTAATGAGGATGTGTTGTGTGAAGTAATGAGGACGTATTGAAGTAATGAGGACGTGATGTGTGAAGTAATGAGGACGTATTGTGTGAAGTAGTGAGGATGTGATGTGTGAAGTAATGATGACGTATTGTGTGAAGTAATGAGGACGTGATGTGTGTGTGTGAAGTAATGAGGACGTATTGTGTGAAGTAATGAGGATGTGTTGTGTGAAGTAATGAGGACGTGAGTGAAGTAATGAGGACGTGATGTGTGAAGTAATGAGGACGTATTGAGTGAAGTAATGATGACGTGATGTTTGAAGTAATGAGGACGTGGTGTGTGAAGTAATGAGGACGTTTTGCGTGAAGTAATGATGACGTATTGTGTGAAGTAATGAGGACGTTTTGTGTGAAGTAATGATGACGTATTGTGTGAAGTAATGAGGACGTTTTGTGTGAAGTAATGATGACGTATTGTCTGAAGTAATGAGGACGTATTGAGTGAAGTAATGATGACGTGATGTTTGAAGTAATGAGGACGTGATGTGTGTGTGTGAAGTAATGATGACGTGATGTGTGAAGTAATGAGGACGTGATGTGTGAAGTAATGAGGATGTGTTGTGTGAAGTAATGAGGACGTATTGAAGTAATGAGGACGTGATGTGTGAAGTAATGAGGATGTGTTGTGTGAAGTAATGAGGACGTATTGAAGTAATGAGGACGTGATGTGTGAAGTAATGAGGACGTATTGTGTGAAGTAGTGAGGATGTGATGTGTGAAGTAATGATGACGTATTGTGTGAAGTAATGAGGACGTGATGTGTGTGTGTGAAGTAATGAGGACGTATTGTGTGAAGTAATGAGGATGTGTTGTGTGAAGTAATGAGGACGTGAGTGAAGTAATGAGGACGTGATGTGTGTGTGTGAAGTAATGAGGACGTATTGTGTGAAGTAATGAGGATGTATTGTGTGAAGTAATGAGGACGTGATGTGTGTGTGTGAAGTAATGAGGACGTATTGTGTGAAGTAATGAGGATGTATTGTGTGAAGTAATGAGGACGTGATGTTTGAAGTAATGAGGACGTATTGTGTGAAGTAATGCGGACGTGTTGTGTGAAGTAATGAGGACGTGTTTTGTGAAGAAATGAAAACGTATTGAAGTATTGAAGAAATGAGGACGTATTGTGTGAAGTAATGAGGACGTGATGTGTGAAGTAATGAGGACGTTTTGTGTGAAGTAATGAGGACGTGATGTTTGAAGTAATGAGGACGTGATGTTTGAAGTAATGAGGACGTGATGTTTGAAGTAATGATGACGTGATGTTTGATGACTCTGCCAATGACATCCAGCACAAGCTTAAACTAGACCCAAACTCTCGCAGCAGACTCCCGGTTCTTGGGAGAAAAAAGATTTCCCATAATCCCCGGTTAATATCCGCGACCAGTCGTCTGCCCACGTTTAGGCGCCAGAGTTGATTCCTGTCGCCAAGGTAAGGCCGTGAAAAAACAAAATGGCCTACGTTTTTAAATAAAGAATTTTTAGGTTACTCTGAAACAAATTAAACACATATTATAATGACACTTAAACAACTAGATCTATTTGATTAGGATAGGAAAACATACATTCAAATGTCGCATCAAATTAAATTAAACTGATACAAAAGTACATGAGAGAGAAATGAGTTCTATTGTGCAGACGTTTTATGGTGCAGAGATTTTATGGTGCGGACGACTAATCTAGGTCGACAAGTGACGCAACTGAAATCAACAAACAGATCCGAGTTCAATCAAACGGCTCGCGTCTGCTACAAACACGTGGTATTTAGCGGGACTGCTCGACCGGCGGTGACCGCTGGTCTGTGCCACATTCTCGTCTGCTCGCTGGCCAACCTCGCGTCCAGCTGTCAAGTTTGGACTGGGCAGACGTGCGTCAGCTGGCCAATAAGTTCAAGGTCGATGACGTTTGTTTTCTCTAATTGCCTGACCTGCGGTGGTCAAGTGAAATTCTCATTAAAATACCAATCATAAGACTTAATTATAACGAGCTGACCCGCGACGTAACATACGCCATCTAGTTGTTTTATTTGTGAATTCTACACTACCCCGCCCAGTGAAAGCAGCCGTTTACAGACTACAATGAAAAGATCAAGCAGAAATTGTTACCCCCCCCCCCCCTTCGTTTCAAATCGTTTAATACTAAATTATCTGCCCCTAGTAGCCGTCACTAATTCAACCCGGCTCTTCGATTGTAAACATTCGTCGTGAACCAAAGTTCACCTGAATGGTAAGGGTGAGGGTGGTAGCAATATGTCTGGAGAGCGGGGGAGGAACCAGTGTTTCTTCTAGACTTTTTTCTCCGGGGGGGGGGGGGGGGCGGTCAACATTTTTCGGGGGGGGGGGGGGATGGACACTAGTAAAAGTATATGTTTACTATATAAAATCCATCTCGTTCGGGGGGCGGTAGACTTTCTTCGGGGGGGGGGGGGGGGGAGAGGTCTGACCCCCCCCCCCCCCCCCCCCCCAAAGAGATGT